CACAAGAGTATCCCAACTATCCAGTAGAGATCCCAACAGTAGGCATGCTTGCATCTCGTCATTTAAGGACATACCGCTAACTGCTAACTCAGTTATGAGTCCTTTAAAATCGTTCAGGTGTTGTGTAACTAATCGCCCCTCTGACAACTTTAAGTTCATGAACAACTTCTTTAAGTTCATGACTTTACGAATCATGAACACTTTACCTTGAGCATTTGTAGCCTCGTACATATTCTCTAATTTCTTTCAGAGAACTTGGAGATCTTTTTCATTTCTCACGTGGTTGTACATGCTAGCATCTATCCATTGGCGTATTGTACCCAATGTCGGCATTTTTAATTTGTCCCACTGCCTTTCTTTCATTTCTTCTGGCTTTGCACTGTAACCTTCAATTGGATCGTATAGATCTTTGCAATTGAGATAGTCCTCCATTATGGATTTCCACATTGAATAATTTGAATCCGTCAATTTGATCATTATCCCGTCGTTAGACATGTCGAATTCTAAATCTGACAAAATTTTTACTATTCACTATTCACGTAAATAGTAACTTTATAGAAAACTGACAGAAATTACCAACTAGGCTCCGATACCAGTTGTTGGGATTCTAACTGATCCCGAGTGGGCTCGCGGAAAAATACCCGTGGTAGAAATAAAATAAAATTACCAACGATAAAGGTTAATAGCGCCGATAAAGATTTAAATTACTATTACCACATTTACCTCCAATAATTACGTATTGGATATTGACGACCGAATCCACCAGAAATAATAATCATACGTGGTTCACCCTTCAACTGTTATGGGCTACGTCCACGGGACAAAAGCTCCGAATAATTCTTCCACTAAATGAATAGTATGTACAAAAGAGATTAAAAAATATAGTGGTACTCTAAGTGTTTCCCAAAAACACCCCAAAAATTATAATCCTCACTATTTTATCTCTTTCCCAATTTTAGGAACCTTTTCCTAAAATAAAAATTATAATCCCTCAACTATTTTTATCTGCTTTCCCATTTTAGGAACCTTTTTCCTAAAATTCTTTTACACTTAATTGTGTATTTCTAATCTCTTTTTTTTTTTTTTTTTTTTTTTTTTTTTTTTTTTTGTACATCTCGGTTGAGGAAACTTTCTCCTATTTATAGGAGAAGGAGACACGTTATTAATGCATCCACCGAATGGATGCGTTAATCACGCGTCCACTTTCCCTTTTTTTCTTTCTTTCTTCAAACTTGTGTGGGTCCCACATGTTGGAGGGATCCCACAACACTATGGTAAATGAAAAATAAATTAATTTTTAATAATGTAAGGGATGATGCGGATGTTATAGTCGATAACATAAAGTTGAAAAGTTTTGAAATTTTAAAAGCAAGATTTCCATTTTTATCTTATCGTTTGAGTGATTGGAGCATGTTTCCATTACTTGTGTGTTGTAATGGATTGAGGTGGATTAATAAAGATACGAGTGGTGCTTTACATTCTAATTGGGAGAAACCTTGTGTGGGAAAGTTGAAATGTAATGTAGATAGTGCTATTAAAGGGAAACCAGATCTAGCAAGTATTGGAGGTGTTCTAAGAAATTTTTAGGGGTTAGTGGTTTGTGTTTTTTATCGTCCATTGGTATTTTAGATTCTATCGAAGCAAAACTTCTTGCTATTTTTCATGCAATGGATTTGTTATTTTCTTCTGATTATAAGGATATACCTTTGATTATTGAGTCGGATTCAAGAAACGCAATCTGTTGGATTTTACAAAAAAGCAAACGTCCTTGGAGGTAGTGTGATGGGAGATTTTTAATAAATTTAATAATTCATTAACTCAATTAATTTCAGTGGAGTTGAGGCATGTAACCAGATCGTGCAATAATTTTGTGGATCTCTTGGCCAATAAGGGAGTTGCAGCAACATCCTCTTTTCTTGCTCGGATATAATGAAGTCTTGTGCTAAGAACAGTTGCTTTCTATTATGAAATGAGACGATGATAAACTTGCACATGATGCTATTTGTTTTTAGTTTTGATTGCTTTGACTTTTGCTTTCTAGGTTTGCTGCAATTTCTAATCTGTGTGTTAGCGTTTCTACTCTCAAGAAACATCTTTTATATTGTTGGCTTAGTTGCAGGTGGTGTCCACTAGCATCTGTTTTTTTTTTTTTTTTTTTTTTTTTTTTTTTTTTTTTTTCTTCTTTTTTTTTTTTTTTTTTTTTTTTAAGACTGGTACCTCTGATGTATTCAGGTTTGGGACTAGGTTTTTACTTATTTATCCTGTTATTAGTTTTGGTTTTAGTTTTAGACTGTACTGATGTATTATCAGGTTTGGAAACAGATTCTTGTACCCGCTTATGTTTTTTTTTTTTTTTTTTTTTTTTTTTTTTTTTTAGACTGTACCTGATGTATTTCAGGTTTGGACTAGGTTTTTTTACTTATGTTATCCTAGTTATTAGTTTTGGTTTTTAGTTTTAGACTGTACCTGATGTATTTCAGGTTTGGACCAGATTCTTTTACTTATGTTATCTAAATTAGGTTAGGTGTAAGTGAGCAGCTTAATTTTGATAAAAAAATGTAATGGCTGTTTTATTAGAAATCTGACCAACGAAGTGCCACGAATCTTGCCATGTACGTTTCTCTCCTACAAATTTGAAATTAATTTTTTTTTTTTTCAAAAATCATTTTGTTTGGAATTTCTCTCTGCCACACAGGATTTCCACTATCTTGCTTAATCCCACTAAAACCCCTAGTCGTTTATTCCTTCATGATCGTCCAAAACTAGTGTTATTCGGATAATAGGATATAAACTGACCAATAAAATTTCCTAACTGCTTGCCAAATGACATAGACGTCATCCCCACTAGAACATCATGCACCTGAACCCAGAAGTCGACAAAGTGCAACGCAGCTCCCACAGGATCCTTATCACAGCCCACCTTCGATAACGGTAATAAATGGTTGTTGAACGCCCAAGTGCCCCCATTCCAGACCCCGTTAAGATCCACACGGTGAAAAACTGGAAGAGGAACACCTTCGGATCCACCTCGCTAATGTAAATCCCCTACCTGGCTGCCACAGACTAGCAAGGGTGGATTTCTTAGCGGAATAACACTAATTTATTATTTAATTCGACCAAACTCTGATTTTGTTGTAGTAACTAAGAAAAAACACTAATTTTTTTAGAAAGAAAAACATAGTAATTAATATAGATACTGGACCACAAGAATAAGATATTAATCGGATTTGAAATTTGGTCTTATTAGCTCTAACCACAATTTTTCTTTTCATGTCTATAATGCTTACAATTCACATTTGGCACTATACTTCTTTTTTACCATTTGTTCCCCCAAATCAATTATTTCATCTATTCTAATTCAATTATCTTTTAATGTAATTATAAAATAATTAATCTAAAAAAACTCTTATTTAGAAAAAAAATCGTTAGATTGACAAAATTACTCTCTTATCAATATTTTAAATAATTAATACTGCTTTACTGGGAATTCTTAGTCCGTCATGAGAACATTCTTATGCAGGTACGTTAGAGTGGATTTATCAACAATTAAATTTAGTATAAATTACTATTTAGTCTTTGATTCATTGTCAAATTCATTACTTCCTTTCTCTATTTTGGATAACCAATTATAACATCTTTGAATTTAGTGTCAATCAAATTAAGAGATCGTTCTATCTAAAAAACGACCCTTTTCATAGTTAAGCAGAAAGGAAATAACAAGCCAATCGAGTGTGGTCTGGTTGGTCTTACCACGTCTTGTCAAAAATGTGAGGAGTGAAAAGTCTTGAACTCAAGTCATCTCCACCACAAAGTTATCACCAATTTGGTGAATAATATTCAAAGGGGAGTGCTATCCACTGCTGTATAGCCCATAATATTATTCCAGCTCATTGGGCTTTCCAAGAAAGTAAATAGCAAACATACTCTTATTCTATCTCAAATTTGTCAATCTCTACCTCTTCATCTCCATTTCCCTTCTCACGTTGTCTCTTGGCTTTTCTGCATTTATCTCCAATCTAGATTAAGCGAATACCAAATAAACCTTGATAAATATCAAATCCAAAGATTGAAAAGATCCATGGCGATCTATTGCTTAAGGTCCGCCTCTCTGATTAAACAAAGAAAACCTATACTTATATTTTATGTCTTTAGACCAAGCATGCACCACAAGGGAAGGTCAATGAGTAGTTCACACTTTTTATGTATTTGATTTTTGTGAATTTCGTGTGCATCTTTGCCCTTCCTATCTTTCTTTTCTTTTTATGCTTTTTTTATTTTTTCAAAGAATAAATTAGCGGTCGTTTCACTTCTATTCCTCTTCACGGTGCTAAAAAGATTAATTCTCAAATCTATTTTGTGGGTTTTTGATTGTTTAACAAATAGTGAGGACCAAGGAGGTGAATTCTTTAATTCATTAAGGACATTTGGGGTTTATTTTTCCTTCTCTCTTTAAATCCACTTTTTTCAAAAGATTAACAATGAAAAGTAGACATGGCCAATGAAACTGAACTGTACCGTAGATGAATTGGAATCGGATCAAAATTCTCGGTTTAAAGCCTTATTAAGGTTTATGTGAATGTTAAAATTTAAATCTGAACCGCGATTCCGGTCTGGCTTCAAATCAAATATTTTTATTTTTATTTTTAAAATTATAATCACTTAGTCTATTCTATATACCTCTAAAAATCAAATAATATTTTACAACATGATACACTTTATTATATGAAATGGAATTAAAAAACCATCGTGGACTTTGCTTCTACTACTATGAGGGGTATTCATGTTTTGGATCCGTCTTCAAATGTCATTCAGTCTCGGCTCGCTTATGATATCACTAGAATAGCGTATTTCAATTGTTATAAGTCTTAGTTTGTGTTTTTCTTTATATATATATAAAATTAAAAGCCACTCTTCAAATAGAATGGAAAGAGTAATTAAATTTATTAATAGAATTAACACTCAAACATTATTGATTCCATTTACAAATAACAAGACTTGCTCATAATAATAATAATAATAGTAATAATAATAATAATAAATAATAACTAAAATACAATTCTTTTCTAGTTGATACGAGTACAATCTGTCCTTATTTCGCCTTGATTTCCTGTCAAGACTCCAATTCTGCCAAGCTTAGTAATGGCAGAGACAAAAGCATTTTGAAAGGCACCATTATTTGAAGCAAAGAGATTAACAGTGGCTTTCGATCTCGAATCAGTAAACAAAATCTGATCAGAGCTGAACAATCCTTTTCCTTGTTGAAGGTTTCTATAATATGCATTGTCAAAGGTTTGAGGAGTCGTTGGATCCATGTTAATGGCAATTCTTGGGTCAACCTTGACAGGGCACATTTGTCTTAGCTGCATTGCATATTGAAGATTGAGCGTTGGATCAATCTTTTTTAAAGGGCTGAAATTGTAGATTCTTTTGGAGAAACGGCCACAATGGGAGAATCCAAGTGTATGTGCACCTATTTTACATTTACATAATAATATTGTTAAAAGAAATTCAATTTAACTATTATGGGATTGAATTGTCTCGAATTTGTCTATGGACCTATCCGTGTACCGAATTAATGAAAAATATTTTTTTATTAAAATGAGATTATTTCTGATCATTCACTGAAAAAAATGATTAACCAACTTCGGCCTTGTATAATTTTTACTATAGCAAGTCAAAATGTCCAAAATGCCTCTGTGTATATTGTGTGTAAAATCATGTACATTAAACCTATTAATGTCATTGTGGACATTTCGGCATGCTACAGTGCAAATTATCTCAAGTCTAAGTTCAGCCATTTTAAAAGAAAATTATTTGCTTAGATCAGGGCCATGGCCCTATTTATAGAAGAAACAAATGAAACCAAGAATTTTTTAAAAATCCGACCTTATCCTTTTTTTTCCAATCATTGTTTCAATAAGAATCCTAAATTTCATTGGTTTAGTCTATAAATGAGGTCATAGATCTAATCTGGAAAAGTTTTTCCCTTTTAAAAAATCATTATTTTCATTCATTTGATCTATATGAATGAATCATAGACCGAGTCCATGTAACTTTAATTCTAAATTAACCGGATAATTTGCCGGAAATGAAATTATTAATTAGTACCTGATAATGCGATCATGTCAGTCTGGGTAAGACCATGTGAGGCAAACATTGAATTGAGTTGGTCCAAGTTAAAATTAGGGCTTGGGAGTTTGTGTTGAACACTAGCTATTGTAGATATTCTCCCATCTCGTCTTCCCAATTCCACATTATAAAATGGTCCTCCTGCCTGCATTGCACATTAATTTATATTAATTAATATGTCATTATGTTAATTATTTAAATTAGATGCTCAATCATCCACATGGAGTAGTTAAACATGATATGCTTTTTAAATATATTAAACTTTTTAAATTTAACAATTATCAAACACGTTGAACATTTAATTTTTATACATATAGAGAATTCACCCCTTGTGCAAGTGAATCTATACCATTTAAAAAAAAAAAAAAAAGTTACATTTGTTTTATTTTATTATATTCATAACAAAAATATTTTAGCTTTCAATCCCTGATTTTAAATGTTTCACCATAACAACTAGAAATTAATGAAAATATTAAAATTGAGGGTCTTTTAGTTTTAAAATTAAATATTAATGAATAATAACTCGTTATTAATATTGGTAGATAATAACTAGTAATTAGATATTTGTTGTTGGTAGTGAATGGTTAAATCTATATTTGCATTCCTTTAAATTCTAAATTTTAGCTTAAATTTTATCTTTTTTTTTTTAATTTATAGGAGGCACTAAATATACTAAAAATATATTATGAAGTACATTCACTAAATTGGTAATAATTTTTATGGTGGAAAGTACTTGAGTTTATGACTTCCCACGTATCAAATAAATTTTCGAACTTAAAATTATTTGTGTTTGATCTTTCAAATGTTTGGTTTTGGTCTCTGAAGTTAAGTTATGATGAGGGCTTAGCATAATTCAGAAAAACCAATTGAATTATTCTGATTTTCAGCATATATTTGGTTCCATTTTGATTTTAATAGAAAAATTTTAAAAATTTTGGTTCAGTGTGATTTTCATTAAGTCCAAAAATTAAGTTTAGACATGTACGCTAGTTGGTTCGATGCAGTTTTCATCTTAGTAAACTTTTGATTTGTTTGGTTTGCACTAACTCCATTGAATTTGGGAATTACATGTAAACTAAAACAGATATAAATGTTTTTTAAATAGAGAAAAACAATAAACCAAACAGAATTTTAAATAAAAATATAATTTTTGGCCGTTATGTTTTTATAATCAAGAGGTGTAATCTATTTTGGGCGCTAACCATAGATGTTTTGTCGATTATTTTTGTTTTAATATACAATTAAACAATGGAAAATTATTTATAATCAAGAGGAGTAATCCCTTTCGGACACTAACCATAGATATTTTGCTGATTATTTTTGTTTTACTATACAATTAAACAATGGAATGTTAAAATGGAAAGGAAAGTAATAGCATTACCAAGTTTACGACATCTCTAGTAGCGAGAGCTAATATATCAGCACATGAAACTTTGTTCCTGCATTGAGGAACACTATCAACGGCGGCCTTCGCCTTGACGACGGTGTCGAACCCGTCTCCGGCCAGTGAAAGATTATCAGGATGATCCTTCTCCGCCTTATTGCTCGGCGATGCTAACAAAACCGAAGCATCACATCCCTAATTTGGCACAATTGCAAATTTGATAAAATTTTTATTTTTTATTTTTTACATTACTGTATGATAAGCAGTAATGGAATTTTTAAAGGAAGTAAAAAGAAAAATAAAACGCAAAAGATACAAACCCGAACAAAGCAATCATGGAAGAAAAGCCTGAGAGTTGCAGGGACAGTGACAAAAGTTTGCTTAAACTTCTGTTGGACGGCAGAACGGACTATAGATTCCACATTTGGACATGTTTTGCTGTAGAAATTTTGGCTAAGTTGAGCATTACAAAGAACAAATATTGATAATAGTAATATAACTATGAAGCAACTTTTCCTTTCCATGACTTTTTTTTTTTTGGGTTGTATTGTTAGATATATAATTCTACTTATATAGATATAAAGAGGACTAATGATTGGAGTTTAAATGATTAATTAAAGATTAAAAAGGTCTTGGAAGTACACTCTGGCCAATGATAATATTTCTATGGGTTTGGAAGGTGGATTTAGATGACACTTGGTTCATTTATCTTTTTTTATTATTGGCATGTTCTCGCATACTTGTGTATGTTTGTATGTCAGGAATAACACATTTTTTTTATGACAAGGTTTTAAAAATTATGGTTATTTATATTCGTTCATTATTATTTTTATATAATATTAAATATTGATTATAATTTCCTCTTATATTATAATTGTGATTTCAAATTGGGATTAGTATGAATATTATAACTAACTAATAATAATAGTCAAAAGTCTATATCTATATATATCAATTCAATTTATAAATCACCGTTTATTTAAAAAAGTCGACTCTAATTAGACATAACGATATAATATCATCTAATAAATAAATTTTAATTAATTTACGTGTATATATAATTATTTTCGCTAAAAAATTAAAATATATAATTAACATCCACTAACAAATTATATGACATAGTTTTAATTATCTCACAATCCCATCATGTCTCTGCCAGCTTGCCGAGTACCTAACAAAGAGTCTCCTTAATATTCATGGCCTGTGATATGCCACTGCTTCTTCTATCATTCCGATGCATTCTGATATGATTCGAGTAGTGCTCTTCTAATCATCGACTCATTAGATGTTGAGAATTGCAGAGTGGTTACTATGACTAGAGACCTTTTACATGGCTCAAGACCATTCTCAAATAGTTTTTTCTCTATCTACTAACCTTTTACGTGGTTACTATGACTGGTTATATTTACGCGTCTTGTTATTAGTTGTCTCTTCTTCCATTTATATTATAATCTCTCTTGTTCTGTTTGTATATATTATAATCTATCTTGCCTTTTCAGCACGCAACATACTGGGAATTTCTCGATAAGATAAGGCTACTATAGTTGTCGATATATAGTTCTTCCATAAATGTTCAAATTTCTGATTTTTACTGCAAATTTCTAGCTGGATGTTTTTTGCAAAAAGAAAGCGACAAATCTAAAGAAATGTCCAAAGAAATGAGTTTAACTAGTCCATTTTAATTTTTCATTTATAAATTTTAGCTAAATGCATTTAATTGTAAAAGAAATAATAAAAAAATTATAGTTAATACAAAAATTAAATTTAGGATATCCCATTTTAATGTTAGTCGCTTGCCTACCAAAAATATTAGAATTGAAATTGAAAAACACTCCCATAAAGTATGACCTACGATATCCTTCTTAGGGATACCTTAGATATCGGTCCTCTCTAAAATGCAATGACAATTATTGGCCTAAGCCATGAGCTTTCTTGGTTGCTCATTGACTCAGGCTGTGTTCAGCAATTTATTTAAGTAGCTTTTAATTTTTTGACTGATCAGAACGTTAAACGTTGTTAAAAACATTATTCGGTAATATAATATTTGAACTGACTTTTAGAGGTTAGGGTAATATTTTTTGAAAAGTTAACTCATGTAACATTTAATTTTTAGCGTTTCATGAAAAGCTAGTCAAACAGCTAATAGTTAAACGCTACTAAAACAGGTAACAGCTAGCTATTAAAACACGTAACAACTAGCTACCAAAACAGCTAATTTTACCGAATATATCTTCAATCAATATAAGTATTATATGAAGTTATTCTTGTTTGTTATTTATAGCTAAGCCTTTTTGATAAAAAAAAAGGGATCATATTGTTTGTCATTAACAATTACATAGATTGATAAAACAAAAATTCAATGATTGTTATAAGAATCAAAACCAGAAAACTTCAATAAGATAAATTCTGCCCACTACAAGAAAATCGGGTTATAGCTACAGATTTCTGTAGCTAAGTTTAATAAATCTGTAGCTAATCACATATTGCTATGGAATAGCTATGGAATATATTCATCCCTAAAATGCTTGTAGCTGAAAATATAGCTATAAATTTATAGTACATAGCTATTTAGCCACGGCTACCATAAATCTATAGTAATAAAGAGTCCAATCAATGTCAATAAATGTGTAGCTAATCTATAGCTACATATTTGGTCTCTAAATGGTAACAATGCCGTAGCTAATTCAATAGCCATTTTGTAACCAATTCATAGCTATTTATTATAAATCCATATTCAAAATTGGGTACCTAATCTGTAGCTAAAAGTTTCCATGTCTAATCTGTAGCAATTCCATAGCGAAAATCTATAGCTATTTTGTAGCAATGTTATAGTTAGAGTTAAACATATCTTTTTCCAAAATTGTAGCTAATTCATAGCTAAATGTATCTATAACTAATTCATAGCTAATCCATAGCTGTTTTACTAGAGTTTTTTTTTTATTTTGGACTTCGCAAACCTGATAAAAATATAAATTATAAAGCATATATAAGTTTTAAGTTAAAACAATCTTTTCCAAAATTGTAGCTAATTGCAATAGCTAAAATGTATCTATAACTAATTCATAGCTAATCATAGCTGTTTATCTAGAGTTTTTTTTTATTTTGGAACTTCGCAAACCTGATAAAAATATAAAATTATAAAGCCAATATATATATTATAAATATTATATATATATACTATATATAGCAGATTTTTTCAATACTAGCACATTTGTAACTAAGTTAAAACATTTTAATCATAGATATTCAACAAAAAAAATTTCACCAAGAGATAACCCTCTAACCATCCAAGCCTTGAACATCATTTCCATCTTCATCTATCGTACGATCAACACCAGAGTTAGAAGTAGGAGCATTAGGCTTTAAATTTGAATGGTCTGAGGATGCTGGTGCCTGGCCCCTGATTTGCAAATGCCTATGTATTTGGGCAATCATATTTGTTTGTTGTTGAAGCAATTTGTCAAATGCCTTATCGTTCCTTCAATGAATGAATCAACTCCATGGCATTCGACGAAGTCGATGAGGCACTAAATGAGTGGCCACTCATACCAGAATGCAGGTAGAAGAGGAAAGCTTGGGATCCAATGCCGTAGACTCGATGCTTATGTTTTCCTCCTTCAGTTCTCAACCTTTAGGTTGCTGTGTGGATTGTTGTTCTTTGAGGTGTTGGATTGTCCCCTGTAAACTAAGGAAAAAAAAAAAAAAAAAAGGTGAATTGAGGAGATTTGTCGCCCATGTAAAACTAGAGTCGAAAAAAAAAACAATATAAAGCACAACAACCATATATATGTTCTTCATTTAGAATAAATGAAGAGAGTCTTGATCACTATTGTGAAAATATTAAATGTCTAAAAATGAAAGAAACACTTTACAAAAACATGCTTCAGCGCGCTTGTCAATAAAGGTCTTCACCTATCATCTTTGTCTCTCTGTATGGGTAGCGAGAAACAACATTACAATTGCAAAAAAAAAAAAAAAAAGCACAACAACCATATATATGTTCATTTAGAATAAATGAAAATCTTGATCACTATTGTGAATATTAATGTCTAAAAAATGAAAGAAAACTTACAAAAACATGCTCAGCGCGCTTGTCAATAAAGGTCTTCCTATCATCTTTCTTTGTATGGGTACGAAGAAACACATTACATTGCAAATAATGTTTAAATTAATAGTAGTTGGTAAACACTAAAATGAATTAATAAATTAAAGTTGAGAATATACCATACATCTGCATGTTCGACGTGGGAGATAGAGCTTTCTGTACGATAAGATGGACCAGATCCCTAGCTGCCTTTTTCAGTATCCTGATTCTTTGAGAATTGTCTAGACTTTGCAACATAATATGGTGCTTTCCAATCCTCATTCCACGTCTTCCAAACATCATCTTGGACATAAGCCCTTTTCCATGACATTTAAGCTTATGAAGCATATCCCTACACCTCTCAATTGCCTTTCTCTTCCATGCAATCTTTATAAGCTCATTCATCACTTCATCCCATTGGAAGTGTTTCTATATATACAACATAACAACAGAATAAAGTTTTAATTAAAATGAACAAAACAAATAGTTTTGTATAATATTAAACAAAACTTCGGTAGAGTTTCCTCTAAAAGTTGTACTTAACTCCCCTATTAGAAGTTCAAAATTCGTATTGTATCTCAAAATTTTCTCATTAAGATAATATCATCATATAATACATCAATTATTTCAAAATGTGAACATTAATATTCTAATACTACTATCTATTATTTCTTTGATTATTCTATTATTCTTCAATTATATATATGCTAGAATAGTAACTGACTTGAAACTCAATCCAATAGAAATGCTTTGTAGCTAAACTCACATTCTTCCAGCTGGAGCCATCCTTATTAAGGTTCTCATGGAAAATGCTAGTGATAAGTTATGATGTATCATAAGATGGTTCCATCCTATTGCATAAGACCATATATTCATACAATTAGAGTATTACACACACATATGTATATGTATATGTGAGTAATTATATATATGTATATGCAAAATGAAGCAATTAACCAAGTAATATAATAGATAAAATGTTATCGCCAAAGATCATGAGTACTTATAAATCGCCCACTAATCGAATGGCTTTTTTACCAGATGGAGCTACAGAATTGGTATTCATTGTAGCAGTTGTTCCTTGAGAAGAAGATGGTCGTGACATTGTCGGTGAAGGTCTAGGAAGTGCCTCAGAGAGTACACATAAGGCTGGGGGTCGTGGAGTGAACTAGATGGCTCGGCATGTGGCTGTAGTAGAGGATCTGATGCCTCAACTTAAATTGAGGTATGATGTGTTTGAGGTTGTTTAGTCCAACTAGTTGGAGTTTGTGAATCACGGCCTGTAGAGCATTTGCTGCAACCTAGATTAGTAGGTCCTCTACCTGTAGAAGAGGATGAACCTTGACCATGAGTATTACTATCTCGACCCTTGCCTCCGCCCATATTTCTATAAATTGCATTTATAGTATATGTATCATTTGGTTACATACATGTAAAATAATGAAAATGATTTATGTAAATAACTAAAACAATTGGTAATTAATATTTCTATATTAATATGTCCATGTTACATTATTCTAATAATGAAAATAATGCAACATAATGGAAATTTGACAAAGTTCATTTATTCTCAGGTTCATCTAATTCATCCTCTTCAGAGTCTTCATCGTCTAATGCTGAATAGATATATGGATCTTCTTCTTCTGCTTCATCCACTACATTGATATCTATATAAGAACCTTCAGGATCGTTCAATGGTTCAGGCAATTCATCTTCATTAACTTATAATGGCTGGACATCCATATCATCTTCTTGAAATGCGGCGTCATACACTTCATTAGGAGCTATAGAAGATTGAGGTAGTTCCACTACTGGTCTTGTGACATCCTACTGAGTCGAGTCATTGCATAGAGTCGAGTTGAGTCGGGCTGAACCAAACCCGGTTGAGGTAGAATGGGATTATAAGTGGATTGATTTGTATAAAACAAAAGATCAAAGTATAAGGATTAGGACTTGCTTGCATTCAAATATAAAGCTTGGGTATTAAGTTGTAACCTATTGACAATTGAGGCACCATTTGGTAAGTTTCACATAAAATTCATTGATATTTTGATGGCCTACCCGTGATTACCATTTCACTTTCCCATTTTCATCTTTATCTTCATCTTTTTCATTACCATCTTCACTTTCCCATTTTCATGCTTTATCTTCATCTTTTTCATCCTCCTTCCTTTACTTACTTTTCCCTTCCTTTCCTCCATCCCATTTTCCATGGTAGTTAAGCATTAAAGTCAACCTCTATTTTCCTCCAAGTAAGTAGAAATTTCTTGAAGCTCTATGTTATTCACTTTAAGTTTAGTTATATTGTAGATAATTCATAAGAATTCTTATTAATGGAGAGGTGAGCTCAAAGGTAGAAGCAAAAGGAAGCTAAGGAGAAGAGTTCAAGCTTTTTGAGTGAAGGTTTGATATCTCTTTTAATTTAATTAATTTTCTTGCATGAGAACTTGTGTGGTGTGTTGATAATGAGAAGATATGTTGCTTAATGTTAAGTAAGAGGACTGGAAATGGTGAGAAAGCATGGAATGAAATGAAGGACTGGAAATGGTGAGAAAGCATGGAATGAAATGAATAAATGAAGTAGATATTGAGTTCATACTGAAACAGGTTTGCTGGAGAATTGACCAATAACTTCACCTTGATTTTGACCCTAAGGAAGTCGTCTACAAGAGTTATTTGTTCCTCTATGTGTTAGCTTTCCATGGGTTTTTGAATCACCTAAATCAGAGTTATAAATTGAGAGATATGACCAAATAGTACACACTGCGCAGGCTGAAAAACACGACTCGCGCTCGCGCATTTCATGGCACGCTCGCGAATTGTGCCTGTAAACTCTCTGACTCTCATTTTGTGCTTCTCACACTCGCGAATTTCA